CCACACCCCCACAGGAGCTACAAGCCAGGGGGCCTGCTAGTCAATCCACGCTTGGCTCCATTCCCTCACCCTGATCATACCAACTCCATGAGCTGATGATTAACTCTAATTCCCTGAAAAGTCGCAGCCTTTACAGACCTGGGAGCAAGGCCCAGAGCCCAGGGCAGGATCTAAGGCTTTCCTCAGCATGCTTGTGGAAGAGAGAAGCCTCTGGGGGAACAGTGAGCACCTCTCCCTGGAAAGTCTCGTGCAGCTCCAGGAGGGTGCCTGGCCTGCACGGTCTAGCTCTAAGCATCTGTGGGCTCACTGAGGCCTTCTTAAGAATGTCAAGAGCGAGACAAAGTTAATGGACCCGCCGGAAGCAGGGAGGAAAGGGAACCAGGACGCTGTGTCATCACTGCACACAAACACTGCTGGTGCTGGCAGGAGCTCTATCTGCCTATTTGCTGAGGACAACAAAAATTCCCTCAATTTAGTCTTAAGGTGTAAGTGGGGCGGGGTGGTGGCCTTGGTAGAGTGTCGCAGGCCTCCTTCCTGTGTGAGCCGAGTTCGGTGCAGCCCTCCCAGGATAGAGGAAGGTTCTCCCCACTAGCAGTCCACAGGACAAGAGGTCCTCAAAGGCTCCTTATAGAACGGCGCTCCGCACCAGAGAATATGGCAGGAGTCTGGCAGCTTTCAGTCATTTGAGGGGATGAGAGGTCTAGAGGCCAGAGCACAAGCCAAATCCAGTCCTAACTGCAATCCATCAGGGTCCAAGAATTCAGGAACATCTGGGTTGTCAGTTGGTATGGAGGGCAGGTCTGCTCTCCACATTCCTCAAGCCCCCTGGGGTGTGGGCCAAGCACCGGTTTGGAGTGGGGCAGCCTGAGAAAGGCAGTCCTACTCATCCAGGCCTCCTGGGCACAATGGTGTGTCCAACTGCTGCCTTTCCTTTCTGGCAGGAGTGCTCTGGGCTCCTCTGCCCAGGACACAGGCCACATTCCTGGCCCCTCACGCAGCAGCTCAGTGAGACCAAAGCCAGTAGACACAAGGTGTGTCGTGGGGGGTGGGAGGTGCCTCCTCTCAGAGTGACCTTTCCCTGAGCCATTTGCCAACATGAAAAGAAGACAGATGGACAAATCCATGTGGCTTCATTCACTGGGGTGACAACAAATGTGGAGGGAGAGGGATGAAGGATAAAGAGAAGGCATGACCTACTGCCTCTTTGGCCATGGAGCAATCTGGTCCCTGGAAAACTCACAATAACCACTGGCCTGTGCTGCTGGAGGCAGAGATAAGACCTCCAAGCCCCTGGCTGACTTCCATCTGCCCAAAACCACAGGGAAAAGAGCTCACACCCCAGGTCCCACCGCGGCCACCAACGTGACCACCACCAACTCACAACCCAGAAACGATCTGGCTCATCACATGTGGTCCCAGGAGAGGCCCTCAGAGGCCCAGTAATACTGGGAGGCTGAAAACTGATGCCTCTGGGTCCCTCATGACAGTTCTGACCACCATCTCTCTGACAGACTGTGGCTGCTGTCACACGGGGAGAACTGGGCCTCCCTGGCCTCCTCTGTGGGTGCCACCTGGAGGCCTTGTTCTCCCCTCCTGTCTCCTGAGGCACATACACGGACACTGCTGGGGACAGAACAGCATCCTCTGGGCCAGGATTCCACCATCGCAAACTGCACAGAACCTCAGGGTTTGGCTTGTCCAGTTCGATCCCCTACTTGGGTGAGAAAACTGTTGTCACCCCTCTCAACCCCCCTGGCAGGTCAGCTCACCTTCACAGAAGGGTGCAGGCACATGCAAAGGCACACAGAAATACGGCTCATCCAGGCTCAAAAGCTACTGGGAAAGCAGCCACTTGCCCAAGAAGGGGACACCGCTTCGGGAAGCTCTGTGCAGTCAGACACAGGGCGTGGGCCCCGCTCTGGTTGTTTCCTAGTGTGAGGACCACCTGGCGGACTTCTTGGTTTTGTCGTTAAGGGATTACTCTGAAGAATTTTAAAATGATCATGTTCACAATACCAGGCTGATCAAGACCCTACAGAAGGCATACACTTAACGACCAAATTCTGAATTTTGATCTTTTCCTGGGCGCGTATGCTGTAGGATGCTCCCTCGTGATGCTGGGCAGCGGCTGCGGCTGCGGCTGCGCCTGCAGCTCCCGACCAGCCCCGTGACCGCGAGGGGAAGTAACTGATACTCCACGGTGTACTGTGTTGCCAGTGTTCTGTGCATATTCTGTTTTGTATTTTTGCATCCCATCATGTCTATAAAACACCCATCTGAGCCCCCCGCTCTAGTGAGGGGAGAAAGGCAATTATTTTTGAGATGAAACCCAAAATAACCGCCCAACTATAGGCTATTTAAGTGTTCTGAGCACATTTGAGGGAGGCCAGGCTAAGCTACGACGTGCAGTAAGTGTATTAAATGCACTTTCAACTTATGATGTTGTCAACTCATGATGGTCTATCGAGACACAACCGCATTTTAAGTCGAGGAGCATCTGTATATGAACCAGTGGGATGGGAGGGAGAAAAAAGGAGGAAAAGTCAAAGACAAAACTGGACTCTTCTCCAAGTCTGGCCCAAAAGGGCGGCGCAAAGCAACACGTCTATATCACCTTATTCAGGAAATCGCAACCCAAACATTTAGGTCTATAAGAAATCAGAACCACTCTCATTCTGACTCTCGGAGAATCCAAGAGCCGCCTGCCCTGGTGACGCCAGCAACAAGCAGCCTTCCGCCTGGACCGCTCTTTCCTGCCCCCGACTCGCCCCTTCCGGGCATCGACCTCAGCTCCAACGTGACTCCTACAGAGGTCTTCGCAGCCTCTCTCCTTAAAGCCATAAATCACTCTCTATCCATCATCCACAACAGACGTGCCGTGAGGGCAGGGACCTGGTCTGCTGTGTTCAAGGCCGTACCCCCAGGACTCAGCAAGCACTCAAATGTCAGCTGAGTAAACGCATTCATTTGACTCTGGAGCTGGATAAGAAGGGCTTTATATCCCAGTTCCACCACTTCCGGCTGTGCGTACCTGGGCAAGTTACTTTACCTCTCGGAATCTGTTAACTTATTTGTAGAATGGGAAAGTCCTCTCTCACAGGCTGTTTGGAAGACTAAATGAGATAAAGATTGTGGGCACTTAACACAGTGCGTGTACAGCTGCTGACTGGTGGCTGCTGTTACCATCACTGCTGTTTTATTATCAAATCATCACTACAATATAAAGCTGATTCCACTTGGAAATTCTTAATAGCTGGATTGGTTTCTTGCCAACTGGTTGAGTAAAAGAAGATAGTAGAACAACTACAAATAAACTATGAGATAGCAATGAGTCAACCTCTCAGCATCAATGAGAAAGGAACCGTTCTACAATAGGGCAAAGTTCTAGATGTAAGAGCTCTTTAAATACTGAAATCTATTTTAATTGTGAAATCAGTAATTTGTGGAAAGTTCAGGCAAATATGGACTTAAATCCTAGCTCTTCACCTCTATTTCTTGTGGCCTCGTGCTAGTCATTTAGCCTCTTAGAGCCCCAGTCTCCTCATCTGTAAAAAAAGGGACACAACTATCTTCCCCAGAGGTTCTCATAGGGATCAAAGATAATGCAGATAGAACACTGGCACGTGACAGATGCTGAAGACTAAGCTCATTACATAGCGACACATGTGGGGCGAATGAAATGCTGAGGGACATTTGGTTGCGGCTGTGCCTCTGAATGTCATTCACCTGCTTAAATGTTGTGGGATTGTTTGTATTTTGGGTTAAGATGTTGCTTTTCTTCCTGAGCCAACTTCTAAAAGAAATTCTTTATTAAATTCATTATATCAGATATGCCATGAACTGGAAGACCATTCATTCCACCTGTCTGCAACGTGCAGACCTGAAATTCTCACGCCCGGTGAAACACCAGTAGCTTCCACAGCAGCACCATGCTTCTCACGTTCATTTTCTTGCCTATACCCTAGATCAGGGTGGGCAAACTATAACTGAGGGGCAAACCCCACCTGCTTACGGCTCAAGTGGTGGTCTTTACACTTTTAAAGGGAAATATATAGAAGAAAAAGCAAAGAACAAGTGACAGGGACTCATGTAGCCTACGAAGCCTATTAACATTTTTACTATTTGGCCCTTTTTAGAAAAGTCTGCCAACCCCTCAACTAGATGACTGAATTTGTACCGAGGTGGTACTACATGATTTACAGTTCTACTCTATTTTCTGTACAGAACTTAATCTAAAATGAGGTTCAGTTGATTAAAAAAAGAATATTGCAGAGGATAATCTTTTCTGGAGCCTTTCCTTGCAAGGCTGATCAATTAAATGGCCACTCTTTTTGGTGGTGTAGTGGGAGGCAGGACTGGATGGGAGGGGAAGGGAGAGGTGGGAATCTAAGCAGAGCCAGCAAAAACACTTTCCAAGGCAGGGGCTGAGGCCCCAGACAACTCAGGAGCCAGTAAAATGTCAGCTCTCACTGTGTTGAGGACCTCAACTCGACCTGCCCTGGTGACTGGGCTGCAAACAGGGACCAGTTAAGAACAGGGCCGGGCCTGTAGGATGGTAAAAAACAGAGGGGCCTTTGGAAGCAGACAGCTTTGGGTTTGATTCCTGGCTCTGCTTCCCTCCTTGGACAAACACATTCATGTACCTGAGCCTTAATTTCTTCATCTGAAAGATGGGGACTAAAACAGCCATTGTGTTGTGAGGATTTGAGATGGTGCCTGGCACTGTCTTACACACAGCACGTGCTGTCCCAATAGTACCTGCTATTATGAATCCCGATGTGCAGTAAAACACAAGTAAGCCTGCGTGTGGCAGCATTCTATCGCGGAGTCATCTCATAACTGACCCAATTAGAAATCTAGTGCCCAGCATCCTGCTCTGGGTATGGAGAATTTTTATTAAAGTGAGCCAGGTATCAGGCTCAAGGGAGACTTACTGGCCTGGCCCCCTCTGAGTTATCAAAATCGCGAGAGCCAAAGTGCAAAGGGAACAAGAAACTCACAGGTCTCGATACTGGTCAAAGGCGTTGTTGGCTTCTACCTCCAGCTTTCTCAGCCGAGCAGAAGGCATGGCCCCATCTTCCAAAGGAGGGTCGTACTTGTTACTCCATGGTGACCTGGAGGGGAAGAATGGGAAGGCGGTTACATGAATTATTTCAAGGAGACATAGCCCAAGCCCCAGCTGTCTGATATTTTAGCGAAAAAGCCACTTCTGGCAACAAACATGGCTTTCTCAAGGTTTGTAGAGCAAGGGCTCAGCAGCGAGCAGATCAGGTTGAACCCCGTGCCCCACCTCTCATCAGCTGTGTACTTCTGGCAAGTGTCTTGACTTCTACGTAAAATGAGGCTACTACTACCTGCTACCCATAGGGCTGTTGTAAGGAGCAAAAGAGAAAATACAAGTGCCTGGACTAGAGCCTGACATATAGTGAGTAGTCAACAAATGGGATTTCTTTCTTACCACTTTTCTAATTTTCCTTTATTTTCACCACTGTATTCATCAACAGACACCTCTCTCTCCTCCCTGACCTGCTGACAGCTCTGGATAAACTTTTATTCCGAGGTTCTTATTACACAATTATGGATTACGAAGAGAGCTGTCGTTACAGAAGCAGGTAAGAGACTCAGCCCCAAGAGAAACGCTGATTAACACATGAGAAAACCTGAGCAATCAAGTTCTCCAGGAGAACAGAGGACAGCTTCCCGAAGTTTCCCGACACTCAAGGGCCATACACATAGAAAGACTGCTACTTAAGGAGAACCAGCCTCTCTTTTGCCAGCCTGAAGACTTGCCGCATTTTTTAAAATGTATTTTGCCACATCAGGAAAGCATCTAATCACAGAGAGTACTGGAAAGGTGATTATAAGGGAAATATCTACTCATTAAATCCTGCAGGCGGAGTTCCGAGAGCTGGGGTTCACAGACATAAAATGAATTAAAAAGGTGAGAGGAATGGAAAGGTGGAGAAGACACGAAGTTTGGACAAAGCCCTTTACACTCTTGGGCATGAACCCCTCAGTGTGTCCCCACCATAAGAAACTCACACCCTTCCCCGCGCTTTTCTTGCTTTCA